TTTATGATAAACAAACAAGGAGAATGATAGAATTATAATTTAACACCGGATATAATATACTAATGAAATGAATATAAAATCTTATACCACCTAAATTTTATACTCGAAACAAACATACCCTAACGATACACTGGACCCAAAAATCTATAAATTAGCCCAAACTTGACTAGTAAAGCATACATACGTCCCCGCATCTTTTTTATCACTCCCGCTTTTTTATTTATATTTATTCAAATACCGGAAGAGGAGGGAAGGATAAAGAACCTGCAGACATCTTCCTACTTGTACTACTTGCAAATACTTATAAAAAAAAAAAAAGCAAAATCAGACAAGAAAAAAAGGAAATGACATTTAAACATAAGAGCTTATTTTGAGACCAACGGTCGATTTTCTTCCTCCTCTTCAATATCTATTTGAATTCTGTTTTCTTCACTATATGAAGGTTTTTCAATCTTGGGGATGGAAGATGAGGTTGTTGTTGACCTCTTGGGCAGCTTGTTTTCGGGCAACAGCTTCATTATAATCCCCATTGATATCAACAGCAGTCCAGTCCCATGCTGTTCGGTTAATGGCTTTGTAAATATCAAATACGATAGCAGTAATGTAACGGCCTTCCTCGCTGTTGTCACCTATGACAAAGTTCAATGGCAAGACTAAGTTCGAAAACACAATTCAAAACGATGATTTTGTTCATTCAATGAGCATGTGATGTGTTCAATGAGCCTGAAAAGTTTAGGAAGTATGAAAAGCTTGTGATTGGAGTGTACCATAGCAGTGGTGGCTGCACCAAATAAGGCAATGAGGGAAAGCACAGAGATTTGGCCTATAAAGGTGGCCATGGCTTCAAAGATCAACACACCATACACATAAAGATGCTGCATTACCAATGGAAATTACTTAAGAGATATTTTATAAAATTTGTGTCGATCAATACATTTGACTGGTCTAATGAGGTTTATCTATTTGTTATAAGATCAGTGATTGGTCTAATGGCCACTGTAGCCTGCCGTTGAACTGTTAGGTTATGGTTTGAATAATGGTTTTTCCTCTTTCAAGCTTGATTTGCTTTCTTATTAATGAATTTGAGTGTCATACAGGCTAATGCTTTGCAAATCTAATGACCATTCTTATTAGTTAAGATAAGAATTAGGTTGTTTTGTGCTTATTATAACCATCCAAAAAATCAATTCAAGTTAAAGCATTGAAATGTATGTGTAAAATATACATAATGGAGTTGTTATTTTGTGATCATAGAAATAAGTTGTTTTCATGCTCTCATTCGCTTAATTAGAGACTCTACAAATTCTAGACATTAATGCTTCAATTTGGGATGATAGTTACAATACCAAATAAAATATAAAGTACAAATAATTCCGAACAAGGTAATTTAATTTTTTGGTTCAAATTGACAGTGAGAAGTAGTCACTATGATGGAAATGCATGCTCCGACTATATTGTCCTTTCATTGGTAAAAAAAAAAATGATTTTCTTTATATCAAAAAGGCAAAAATTTTGTATGCAAAATAAATTTCTACATCATCAAAATATCGACCACAATAATCTATGGCATTTCCATGTGATTCTTTTGCCTTTGTAGAATCTGAAATCAAATTAGCCACCTATTACGTTTATTATTTTGTTGCATAAATATTACATCAAAATACTTACGTATCTCTGGGTTATGATTTGAAAATAATTTTTTTTAAAAAAAAACCAAGACTATAATTCACAATTTTAGTTCACGTGTAACGCACATATACATCAACTACTATATATAAAGCTTATTTACAATAAAAAGGTATTCAAGTTTTTCTATTTCTTAGGTGGACTTTTTTACTAAATATTTTTTCCTTTGAATTTTTTGACAATTAAGTCAAATTTCGTGTATCAACTTCCGAAGGTCACTACAAAAAGTTCTAAGTTTAGAGTTCAATAACGAAGTATAGATAAAAGATTAAAATCCATTATAATTTAGCTTACAAAAAAACTCTTGAAAAATTAAGTCAACAAAATAAAATTTAAATT